GTACAGTGTCAGGGAAGCATTTGGTTGACAATTATCCAGAGGTGGGAGGACAATCAGGTAGGCCTTTCAGGAGGTAATATGATCCGGGCCTTCATGGAGAAGGGGGTTAGCTCAGCAGCATGGGTGGTGAAGCGGGTGGGTGGGGTGGGAGAAGCTGGCAGGGGTCTGGACAAGAGGGTGTAAAGCTCTGGGGGACAGGAGACAGAGTGAGGGTGCTCAGCCCAGGGGAGTGGGGAACAGGAGCCCCCGGTGGTGGAAAATACAAGATGACTATGCCTAGGCTAGTATGGACTTGCAGGAGACCCCTGGGTGGGGACCCTGCCCAGCGTAACCCAAAGGGACCCAGAAAGCTACCACCTAGTTCCCCATCACTGACAGCAGCCCCTCTCTCCCACAGTGCGATGGCAGTCGAGTCATTCACGGCAACAGCCCCCTTTGTCCAAATTGGCAGGTTTTTCCTCTCAGCAGGTAGGTCTCAGGCCCCTCCAGGTGAGCTAGTGCCAACCTAGAGGCCCCGGGCTTCCCCTCAGCCCCTCCCAGAAGCTGGAGCCCCCAGCTCTCAGTCCTTGCCTTTCCCGTGATCACACTTGGGTCTGGGGCTGGAGGGAATGCCAGTCCCCAGGAGGCAAGGACTCGGCATAGAACACCCCAGTGCAGCCCACCCCAGCCAGCCAGCTTCCTCTGAATCTTGAGTGGTTCCAGAGAGTGAGTCCAGACACTGCGTCCTCATCCTGCTGTTGTGACAGTGTCTGTTCTGACAAGACATTGCAGAGCGAGCCCCTCAGGCCAGTGGTAGAGTCAGAGCCGCTCGCTCCCTCCTGTGGCCCCACCTACATGCCCTGCCTGGTGTCCAGCCCTGTGCCAGGGAGGGGTGGCTCGTCACAGGCCCCCCACCTGACCCCAAAGAGAAGCTTTCAAGAAATAAGACAGCACCATCAGTAGCCTTGGGGCTGGGTCCCTGGGCCTGGCCCAGAAAGGTGGGAGAGAAGACACCAGGGGCCCCCCATTGGCTGAAGTAAGGCAGGAGGGGCAGGTGGTCCGGGGCGGGCCTAGCTGCCTCCTGTCTGCTCTGTCACTCAGCAAGTGCCTGCTGTGCCAGCTGGGCCCTGCCCTCAGGTAGCTCTCCGTCCCTGAGGGGGGCCCTGCTTGTACATGGATGACCATGGTCCAAGGCAGTGGGGGCTAAGGCTACCCCCGGAGCCTGGTCACTCTGACTTGGTGGGAAGGTACAAGGATGACTTCCCAGGAGATGGCACTGAAGTGGGCTGATGCAGGGCAAGCTGTGTAAGAGATGGAATCAGAAAAGGG